AGAGTGTCTTCTCCCCATGTGACTCTCCTTAGGCACACTCTACATCATCGATCACTTTCCTCTTTGGCCCCATAATCTTGATCAGAAAATTTGGGACACTACCACAAAAGATACTTTATTCTTAAAATCATGTTGCACCAAAACTTGTATCTATGCTATCACCTTAAAACAAATTATATTATCTTCAATGTTGGCTTTTTAACTTAATCTACAACGTTTATAATAATGTCAGATGTTTCACCTTCAATAAAAACAACTTCTAAAAAAAAAAAAGATACTTTAAAATAATCCTATGCACAGGAAAGGAAGAGTAGATAAGTTACTGACAATTGTGAGAGAAACATTAGAAAAACAATACAGTAACAGAAATTAGTATATACTTTGCTATAATTCTCCAATTAAGACACAGACTTAGGGCCAGCAGTATAGCTCAGTGGACTGAGCGCTTGCTTAGGTAAGCAAAGGGGCCAGGAGTTGATCCCTGGCTCCACATGCCGCGCCGGCCACACCTCCTGGTGCACTGAGAAGCTGATGGAGTCCGGGCGTGGTGGCGCACGCCTGTAATCCCAGCACTTGGGAGGCAGAAATCAGGAGGATCACTACTAATGTGGGCTATGTAGTGAGACCCTGAACAAAAAAAAAAAAAAAAAAAAAAACTTAAAAAAAAAAAAAGGAAGAAAGAAAGAAAAGAAAACCTAAAAAAAAAACTTTTAAAAAAAACCTTTAAAAAAAGACACAGACTTACACAGATTTAAAAAAAAAAGACCTAATATTTGTTGCCTGCAAGAAACATACCTCACCAGCAAAGATATACAGACTGAGTGAAAGAACAAAAAATACTACTCCATGCAATTGGAATCTGAAAGTAGAAATAGTTTTATTCATGTCCAACAAAGCAGACTTTAAGACAGAACTCATCAGAAAGGACAAAACCACTATCTATTGGTAACAATCCACCAAAAAGATGTGAAGTTGTAAATAAATATGCATAAAACTTCATAAAACAAACAGTATTCAACATAAAGGTACATGTAGGACTTAATACAACAGTATTTGGTGGCTTCAGTATTCTACTCACACCAGTGGATAGGTCATCCAAAATATCAACATCCATCAGAGTTAAATTACACAATAAGTCAATAGGACTTAATATTGACAGACTCTTATATCCGACAACTACAGAATATACTGTTCAACAGCTCATGGAACATTCTCTAAAATAGATCATATTTTAGGCCATAAGGCAAGTCTAAACAGATAAAAAAAAAGAATTTATTTCATATTACCAGACTATAATGGATGGAGCTGGGGAGATGGCTCAGTGGAATAAGTGCTTCCCTGGCAAGCGCAAGGGTCTGAGTTCAATCCCCAGTTCCAGAAAAAAAAAAAAAAAAAAATCAGACTATAATGGAATAGAGCTAAAGGTTAACAATTAGAGACACTATACAAAAATTATATAGGTGAAGATTGAACAACTTATTTTTTGGTATTGTACTGGTGATTAAACCCAGGACCTTTTCGCTGTGTTACATCCCTACCCTTGTTCAATTTTCATTTTGAAACAGGGTTTCTCTAAGTCACTAAGTTGCTCATCCTGGGATCAAACTTGAGATTCTCTTGCCTCAGCCTGCCAGAGGGCTGGGATTATAGGTATGTGCTGCCCGTACTTCAACAATTCACTTTTGAAAGATTAATGGGTCATTAAAGATATTAAGGGGATTTTAAAGAAATTCCTAGAGTCAGGGCCAGCGAGGTAGCTCAGCAGACTAAGCGCATGCTTACACAAGCCCAGGGACTAAGACCTGCTTCCTGGCACCGCATGCCATGTCAGCCCCACCCACAGGCGCGCTGAGCCGGCCACCAAGTCCTGGCATGGTGGCACAAGCCTGTAATCCCAGCCCTGGGAGGCTGAAAACAGGAGGATCACTGTGAGTCCAAGCTGTAGTGAGACCCTGTACCAAATACACAATTTTTTTAAAAAACATTAAATTCCTAGAATCAAATGAAAATGAAAATGCAACATATCAGGATCGATAAGATATGGTAAACACAATTCTAAGAGGGAAGGAAGTTTAACCTTTAACCAGTAGGAAAAGCATTGAGATTCTATCTCAACCTAGAAGGGCAATCATCAAGAGTTTCAAGAATATATCTATGTATCAGTGAGGATGTGAGAAACAAGGAACACTTTGGTGCTGCTGGTGGGTATACAAATTAGTACAGCCACCTTGGAAATGAGTATGGATATGCCTCCAAAAATCTAAAAATAGAACTATATATCATATGACCCAACTATACAATTCCTTGATATGTACCTGAAGGAATTAAAATCAGCGTACTAAAGAGATATCCATATATTCATGTTTACGGCAACACAATTCACAATTCAACCAAGATATGGAACTGGCCTAGGTACCAATCAAAGAATGAACACATAAAGTAAATGTGAATATGTAATTCAGCTATAAAAAACCAACAAAACTATGTCATTTGCAGGAAAATGAATGAAACTGGAGATGCTAATCTTCTAAAAATATTTTTTTGAGGTGGGAGCTAGGGAGATAACTCAGAGGCATAAGCAAAAGGACCTGAGTTCGATCCCCAATTCTGCATGCCCTGCCAGGCCCAGATCCCCAGGCACACCTCTTAGCCCCAGATCCCTGGGTCCACCGTCTCAACCCAGGAACTCGGGGCATACCATGCAGGTCCAGAACGGGGCATGATGGTGCACACCTGTAACCCCAGCACTCTGAAGGTTGACCCAGGAGGATCACTGTGAATTCAAGACTGGCCTGGGGGGCTACAAAAGTGAGAACAAGACTGGCACAAACTATATAGGAAGACCCCATCTAAAAATTTTTGTGTGTGTGGTACTGGGAGTCAAATGCAGGACCTTGCACTTGCCAGGCAGACCCTTAAGCCACTGAGCTATCTCCCCAGCTGTGGGGATGTTAATCAAAATAATCCACATTTTCCCTAATGTGTGGAATCTAAAAGGGGGAGGGAATGAAAGGAAAGGGGTATAAGGAAGGGTAATAAGGAGGATGGATGTGACCAATATGTTATATGCACATGTGAGGATACCACATTGAAGCCCAAGATTTTATAGAATAGGCACTAATAAAATATTAGAAATAAAATATTTAAAATTCTCAAAAGTGTAATTATTGATGGGTCAGGACTCAAGGTTTCCCAGGAGCCCTGCTCCAAACACTCTCCCTCTTGGTGTCCCAGGTACCCTTCCCCAAGCATGCTGCCTTCTGTACCCTGCCCTCAGCTCACTACCCCTTGGCCCCAGGCAGATCCAAACCACAAAGAAGAAAAATTACCTCCGTCCATGATCCGGCTGTTCCAGTCTACAAAACCCCTTAAAAGCCCTGCGCTTTGCCTTGTTCGCTGCTGTCTTGGTCTGCTAGACAGCCAGCCTGCTTGCTCCTACCTCTACTAAATCTCGCATCAGAATGTCTGGTCTGGTCAATTGCGTGGGTTCATACCTAACAATTACTGTTGAAAGCTACGGAGGGGAAATGTGTGCTAGCGGTGGGCTCTCAAGTCACATGATCTTGGTATATGTGGACAGCTGCACATCTGTGGTCGAGAGGCACAACCCCCGTTCAGGCTCAAGTGAGACCGTCCAAACCTGCAGGCCTCACCAGCCAGAAGTACCCACCTGCGACGACTGCCCCACCATCTCCGGGGCTATTTTCCCCACAGACTTCTGTAAATAGTAATACAGCACTCCTGTGGGTTGGAGAGCAGACTTGTTAAAGCATTTTATTTTTTTATTTTTTTCTAAACATTTATTTATTTAGTGTGTGTGTGTGTGTGTGTGTGTGTGTGTGTGTG